CCCCAAAACCCCAAAACCCCAAAACCCCAAAACCCCAAAACCCCAAAACCCCTAACCAGTCCCTTAGTACTGAAACTAAATTTTGAAAATTGTTTAAAAGTCTTTAAGGAATTCTTGTATTTATCATTCTTCACTTTCTTCGTCTATTCGGTCAAGAGCGTTGTCTAGGTGCTGCAGGATAATATTTTCAAGCTTTTTCTTCTTGCTATTTCCTAGGTTATGCTCTTTGCAGAAGGCCTCAGCAAGCTCGGAAGGAGAGTCATCTAGGGGGTTATAGGTAGCTTACCTTTGTACATGACGATTCTGGTGAGTTTGTCGTTACCGAAGTTTACATCTAGGAAAAGGATAGGAGGATCTGCACGGTGTGTAGGAGGATGAGGATGGGTAGAAGCTCGTTGGGAGATTTCTTGGGTTTTTGGATTTTGTGATTTAGAGGTCGGGGAATTGAGTTTTGATGTTTTTATTTTGGGTGGGTCTTGAGGGGATGAATTGGTAACTGAAAGTTCAGGCTGGATTGATTCTTCAATGCTGAAATTTGGAGTGATTATTTGGCCATCGTGAGTACCTTCTGCTTTATTTTCTTTTCCTAAAAAGGTCTCTGGAACTTCTTTCCCTTTACCTTGCAAAATTTTAGCTAAATTATGATCCCTGAGTACGTACAGCAATTTCCTTGATCGTCTACCTTAGGTGTGGTGTCTTCGTCACTATTATTAGATTCGAAATTCTCTTTGATATACTGTTCAAAATTAGTTTTAAACATTTCAGTAGTGATTATGCCATTTCGGTCTGTCTCCTCTCCTCTTTCCTGATGGAGAGGGGACGCATAGCGACTGCTTGATTTACTGTTATAAAGTGGATTAGTCTGAGGCCTAAAAGTGCATTCTTTAAGCTCCTCTTTAGCCCTTTTCTGTTGTTTTTGTTCAATTTTCTTTTTATACCTACAGATAGCTTAGCTGCACTTACTCCTCTCCTTTTTGAAGTAATGACTGAGAATGGAGCAAAGAATTGTTATGCTTGCTAGAATCTCTTGAGCTTCTTTTAGAGTTTGATCTATTACTCCTGGATCTGGAGGCTTATAAAAGGCAAGCTTACACTAGCTCTGGTTTATATGAGAACCTCTCATCAACAGGCCCTTGCTTAGAGCCAATAAAATAAGCTCATTTCGCTTTAGAAGCTTTTCTCTGAAGGAACTCACTACAAGTTAGACAAATGTTTACTCAAAAAGCTTGTAAGCAACAATTTGGTCTTGCTGATCTTTGAAGAAGAATTTATGGTTTTTATCAAATATTCCTATATCTCCTTCCTTTGGGTTCTCCTGGATTCCATACTCATTGAGGACTACATTTAGGACTAAGAGATTACCTTCAGCTGTGTTGTTAGCCTGGTCATATCTTATGTACGATTTCTCAATATCAATATCACTATTTGAAATATTTGTTGCAAGTAGAGAGGTTTCAGGGCTCTTCTTGCCATTTGCATCTGGAAAATACAGCTGTGCTATCTTTAGTTGATGGATTCCAATGAGGAAGAACAGGAAGTTTCTAGCAGACACTCCTCCGAACTCTTCGCCTCTTAGGATTTCCCATAGTTTATTGACCAGGACCCTCTCACTACCTGTGATTTGTTCTGAGATATATTCCATCCTGATCAGAAGCACGACTAGCTGAGTGAACTCTAGATTGTTGTCTCTTGTGCCAAAGTCTTCTTCAAGGCAGATGCTTTGCATCTCTTTAGAAATCTTGCTCACCAGGTAATTCGTATTATTGCGCTCATTTGAGGTTTGTGGAGACTTATTCTGACTTCTTGAACTAGACTTTCTTCTTTCCATGAGGCGATTCTTTCTGGAAACGGCATCACTGTATAGTATCTCAGATACATTCTGATCCCTGACCATCAAGTGAGATCTTTTGTTAATCTTTGGTATAACACTTCTATTGAGCTTACTGCTCTCTGGAGAGATGGACCTTTGCAGCTGCTTCTGGACACCCTGGTTATACAACTGGTTTATCTTCGAAAAATTAGGTGATCTTGAGCGTCTCTTTTTACTTTCAAAGAAGGAGTTCACAATCTTGCTCTCCTCCATTTCTTTTCTAAGGGCTTTGTTCCTGATCTTGGATTCCTTATTACGATTAAAAGTGGTAATGTCATTGATGAAGTCATTATGAGACCTTCTTCTAGTTCCAAATTTGGAAGTATTGGTCTTCGGCTTGAAGTAGCTCTCCATTTGCTCTCTTTCCTTTAGCTCTTTAGCCTGATTTTCTACATAATTGGAAATCTTCTTAGTATTTGTGTTGTAAAGTCTTTCATAGACAGATTTTGAAGCAGCAGGAGATTTCCTAGCCGCTTTGTGCTCAAGAGATCTCTTGTAGTCCCCCACTTCTTTGTTGGTAAGTAGGAGGGCTGGAACACTGGTTTCATGTTTTATACTATTCTGTATCAAACGTCTTGAGATAGCTTTGTAGGCCATTTTGAAGTTTTTATATTTTGTTTCATCGACCATTCCTACATTCCGAATGTCATCATTCTATAGCCATAATTGCAAGGATTACACTTCTGTAATTAGCAGAGCAATGCCCAGGAATCTTAAAGGTGCGAGGCTTGGGGCTCTGTCTCGTCTTCGCTCTGAAGGTTAAGTCCAAGCACTTACTTCTCTTTCGATAGGAATCTTTGTAAGATTCTATTCTTACGATCTGGGTTGGCCTTCGTCTTTTTCTTTTCGTATACTTCCTTTCTTCTTGAAGCAAGCTGGTTGAATCTTTCAAAATCTATAGAAGAATTATTTCAAAAATGTAAAATGTGTACCAATTGTGAGCCGAGACTCTTTAGTCTGATTCTGGGAAGCAAACTCATCGGAAGGGGCATCGATGCCGACTATTTTGGATTTCTCGATGACCTCTTCAGTTTCCTCGTCTTCTGATTCATCGGGGATATCTGGCATTGATGATAAAACCTGAGAAAGTTGGTTAGACGAGTTAAGTTTTTATAAAAAGTCTGGACAATTTGCTCAAAATTATTTGAAAATTCAGAAATTACATATTCGCTATAGTTTTAGGTATAGTGTTTACCTCTCATTTTCTTCTGGAGTGGGCTTTGCCATCCTGGCTTCATCGTCATTATTGCCATTCATTGTGAGAGGCTTAATAGAAAGAGCAGAGATCTTGGTACCCCTTCCACTGTTGACTTCTTCATAGTCAGCCTCTACGTATTCATCTTCTTCGAACTCATCAATCCCTTCGGTATATGTAAAGCTATAAAGAATGTTTCTGAGCCTAAAATTGGCAAAACACAACGATTAAAAAGTAGATCAAACGAATTATGAAAAATCTTACCTTTCTTTGGGTGGCTCTTTCCTTGCTCCAATCTGTAGCCCAAATCTGGGAGCATGCTGGGGCATCTTCTGTCCTCCGAAAGTCTTTGGCTTTAGTGTTTTCTCACCGGTTCTCTGCGAAGAGAGCCTTTTCATTGAGAGTCTGGCATCGACATAACTACTCGTGTTGGGCTTATTCATTTTCATTTTGTTGTTAATAATTATTTTAACTGTAAATTTTACCAGACGGGGTTTTGGGGTTTTGGGGTTTTGGGGTTTTGGGGTTTTGGGG